GCAGACCACATGTGGCCCAGCGAGGACATTTATCCGGCCCGCCGGGTATTTATGCCGTTTTGTTTTTTACTTCAAAATAAGATATGTGCAGTGTGCATAGGAATTTGTTTGTAGTGTTGTTGTTTTTTTAACTATAGTCTGGCCCTCCAATAGGTCTGAGGGACAGTGAACTGGCCCCTTGTTTAAAAAGTTTGAGGACCCCTGCCCAGAAGGGTCGCGACCCACAGGTTGAGAACCACTATATCTTTACTGGAGCTGACTGCCTCATTTTTCTCCTGCAAAGCAGTTTGTGGGTCTGGGGTCCAATGTTTACCTGACATTTCCACCAGAGTCCTTGAGACATAACAATAATGCAAACAACAACTAACTCTATTTCAATAGAGTCACCACCCAGGTTAATTGCACCTGAATTATTTCGAGTTCTTATTACATGTGTTTACATAAAAAACTCACGGGGACAATGGTGAATCACTACTATAGATCCAAGTGAGATTACATAAGCTCTGAGGTAGTTTTACTTATATGGGGAAAAGAAGCATTAATCAAGCTAACAAATCTAAAGAAAAAGATAATCAGTGTGATTTTGAAAGTTTCTCCAATGTTTAAGTCAGAGCTATAAATCGTCTATTTCACATTCCTACAAACTTATTAATCTGCAACATATATACAAATATGCTTGATACAATTGATGTATGGAATGTTATAAGAGCTGTAAGAGCCCCCAATAAAATGATTAAAAAAAACCAACTTATTATTAATCTGCCACAGGTCTCATCCATCGAGTCTCAGACCATCTGATAATACATTTAAAATTTAAATTCAGACTAGTCTGTTAATTTTTGCTGAAGGTCTATAACATTTTTATATTTAATTTGTTGTTATTGAGATGATACACAGCAAAGCATACACCAATTCAACAGCTTCGACGTGGACCATTCAGTGGCACTAATTATGGTTTTAGAATTATACAAGTGTTCTCACCTCCCTTTCTGGGTTGTTTCTCCTTCCTTAATATAAAGCACTAAGGTTCCCTATCTAATCTTTAGAGTTGGAGCTGTCAATTTGATCCTATATAGTTAGTTCTTCAACGTATATAATGCTCAAGGCACACATTGTTAAGCTAAACTAATGCCTGGTTATAATTATTTAAAAACCACAAGTACAGGGAGCCAAAGTTTAATCCCCCTAACACCCCCACCTAGCCCCTCAATTCCAAAATAATACATCTACTCCACTACTAAGACGGACTTCAGGTCTGCATGTAGAGCCCACGTTCACTGCTGCAACCCGCCACCTCTCTTGCCTTTCCCTTTTTATAAAACAATTACAACAATCTAGGTATTGCCTCCTCCCTGGGGGAGGGACAGCAGAGAAGAGGGCGGGGGGAGACATCGGACAGTGCAACTTATGACAAAACTATAATAATTT